GTCCCTCGATTCCCTCGCCTATCCCCTCCGCTGCGTCGTCCCAGTTTATATCCTCATCCTCTGCGCACGTCGCGTTGGCTTCCTCTCTCCCCCTTTCCTCCCTGCCCCTCTCGCTGTCTGGTGTTAATGGACCCCCTTCCTCTCCCTCGCCACCGTCACCCTCACCATCCCCGTCGCTACCGCCCTCCATGCCCGCCGCCCTTTGTTTCACACTCGTCTCTGCCATGTCCGCCGTCGCCGCCGTCCTGTCTGCTGCGCTCTGTGCTCCGTGGTACAGTCGTTTATTGTTGCTCAGGATTAGCTCACGCACCAGGACAGCCTCCTGCTCGTTATTTTGGCTTGCCGATATGCATCCAAAGTTCCACGCTAGCTCCTCCTTCGTCACGTCTATCTTTTTGCAGTATCTCGCGAATGCCGTCCGCGCTTGCTGGGGTGTTATTGCGTTCGGATCCGCCCTGGTCCCCGCCCTGTATCCCATCTCCTTGCGGTGGCTCTTGTATGAGTCCCCATATGACCATGTGATTTCTTGGCCTTCCTTGACTCCCCTCTCTGCAAACAGGACCATCACCTGCGCAGCTGCCTTGCCTAATTGTATCTCCTCGTAGCGTACGAAGTGCGTCGCCCTCGTGCCTCGTTTCGGCTCATTCGATGCTGCAGGCCAGTCGAAGTTACACCGCGCCGCGACGCTGTCAAAGTCGTCCCCGCTCTCGTCGTCACTTCCATCCAGCTGCGTCCCCCCTGCTGCCGTGTGTCGTGATAGTTCGTCTGGTACTGTCTCTGGTGGCTGCGCCGTTCCTGTCCGGAAGATCTCCCCAGTGTAGATGCTACACACCTCAAATTTCTCTAGCATCCTCGTCGCCAGTAGGCCGAGTTCCCCTTCCGCTATGCTAGAGGGGCCTACCTTCGCCCCTTCCACCGTGCCGCCCGTCGTTAGCATGGCCGTCGTTACTTTCGCCGCCGCCTCTGCTGCTTGTCGGCGGAGCGCCTCGCGCCTTCCCTCGTCTCCATGCTCCTGGTCTTGTTCTTTTTGTTTCCCTGCGCTTCCTGTCGCTGGTCCGGCGACGTATCTTGCCGTCTGCCTTCGCTTCCTGGCGGGCCGCGTTTCCTTCCCCTCGTCCCGTCTGTTTTCTCCTGCGTGGTCGCCCTCGCGTGCGCCGCTCGCCGTCTGTTCTCCTCTCTGCTCGCCGTCCTCGTCCCCTCGCTGTCGTCGCTTCCCTCCGGCGCTCGCCGCATCGTCGTTCCTATCACCGCGTTTCCTGCGCTGGCCTTCGCCTTCGAGCTCGCAGTGGGTCGTTTTGAGTGTCATCCCCATCGCTCTCGTCGTTCTGCCTCTCCCCGCTTCGAGGCGTCTCTCTGCCTCTTCCCTTTCCTTCTCCTCGGCATCACGTTGTCGATGTCGCCTCCGTCGCCAGCAAATACACGCATTCGCCGCCCACTCCATTTCTCGTATCCTCTCCTTCCTTTCCTTCTGTCCCTCTCTCAGGCGTTCTGTTTCCGCGGCTACTCGTTCCTTCCTCTCCGCCTCGAGTCCCTTCCTCTTCCCTTCCCGTACTTTGATTATTGATGCCGCCGTCTGCTGCAGTGCCTTGAGTGAAGTCACCACCCGTGTGTCATGCTCCCTCATGATGTCTTCTGGCGGGTCCTGGTCCATCACACTCGGCTCGGGTAGTCGTCCAGCTAGCAGTTGCTCCATCGCCTCCCATTCCTCGTCGCTCTCCCTTCTTCCTGCGCACCTCTTCGTCGCCCCAGCAATGGCGCGTACAGCGAGCGCCTGGGCTTCGCACTCTGCGGTGTGGGCGAGTGTCCGCCTACTTGACTTCGGTGGCGTCCATCTTAGCGCCTTGAGCACGTCCGCGAAAGAACGACGGGTGCGGGTGCGTACCACACCATAAGGGCCGTATGCGTATCTCACTGTCACTCTCCCGTGTGTGCACCACAGTGTGCTCAAATACAAGAAACAACAAACATAAAGCGTACGCCGGTATAATGGTAAGACAAAGAGAGAGGACTCAACATTCTTCGTCGTTTCACCCGCGCAGGTTGTGACCAGTTTTGCCGCAGCGCCCCTTCCGCGCGCTTATCGAGCCGACGGAGTTCTTGCCAACAGAACGCGTGGTTCTTGAAATAGTGCAACGCGCCTTGGATTTCGTGCCACACCAGCGCCTCGCGCAGCTCCGCCTCCTGCGCGAGCATCCACAGGTTGTACCGGCGCGGCAGCTCAAACCACGGGATACCCCTCTCGGCATACAGTGACGCGTCGCAAGTCAAAGTCTTGTCGCGGCCGTTATGAGTAACCCTAACCCTAACCCTAACCCTAACCCTAACCCCAACCCTAACCCTAGCCCTAACCCTAGCCCTAACCCTAACCCTAACCCTAACCCTAACCCTAACCCTAACCCTAACCCTAACCCTAACCCTAATAGGTTCGGGTTTGGGCCTTTTGAGTGTAGATCCAGCGTTCCAGCCTCTGGGAGAACACTCCGCTCCACGCTGCAGCGCCCAGGCCTCCGCCCTGGCCATATATGACCCAACCTCTTCGCCGGCCCCAGAGCAGCTTGTGGCCAGCTCATTTGATGAGTTGCGGGAGATGACAAGACGCTTTGCGTCTGCATTGGCCATGACGGCGAGCCTGAGGCTGAGCGCGCTTCGGCAGAGAGGAAACGCTCCCATACCCTTCTCTGTCGTTACACGTTAGACGAGACGCGAGGGTCGCCCCCCTTGCCCCACCAGTGCCGCACCAGCACCACCTCGTGTGTGTGGAGAAGTTTACCACCGCTGTATATACTCGTTTATTCACGAGGCGACCCCAGGGAACCGTGGGCCCGCTTGTAGAACCCACAGTGCGATCTGCGCCCCAGAGCGTTTTCGCCTCTCCCGGCCGCCCGTGAGCGCCCCCCGCGTGCATCTACTGGCTGAAAACGCGTCGTGGGCCAGCTCTCATACCCTCCCGCCCGGCCCCGGCGGCAGGTGGCGTCGCGCCGCCCGAAGCACCGCCCGCGGTGGTGCTGGTGTTCGAATGACAGAGTGACTGCGCTAGGCGGAGCCCGCGCTTCTCCTCCCTGCTCGATGTGTCGCTCAAAACTGTGCAGCCCTAGCGAGTAGGTACCGATGCGCCAGCATGCCGCGGGGCGACGACCAGCTCCGCTCGGCAAGTCCGCTGGTAAGGCACCTCCCTCGCTCATGACTCGCCTCGCCGCTCGAGTGGCACTCCAGCAGGCTCAGCGGCGTGCGCGCCGGCCGCGAGGGCCGCCATGGCCGCGTCCGGATCGGTGGCGACCGCCGCGCCCGCGGGAGTGAGCGCGACCGACCTCGACGCCGCCGAGGCTCAGCCTGCGAGGCGTCGCAGCGGGCGCTACCCGCCGCGCCTGCAGCAGAAGGAGCGCCACGCTTGCTCGCGCGCTGTGACGACCGGCACCGCGCCGTTCGCTCGACGGCGACGGCACGCGCGGCGGTGCGTACCCGCGCGTCCGGGCGGCGGGTTCGGTGGCACGGCTGTGCACGCGCCGGCGGGCGGCGGCGCCGAGGCTGCTGCCGCCATGGCAGCGCTGTGGCGGCGGCGAGGGCGACCGGCCGAAGGCGCGCCGCACACACGCGTGCTCGCTCCCTTACTCACGGCGACGGCACGCGCGGCGGTGCGTACTCGCGCGTCCGGGCGGCGGGCTCGGTGGCGTCTGTGATCTGTAACGTGCGTGTGAGGGCCCGTTGTGGGTAGTTATGAGCGGGTGTTTGAGCTTGAAGACCCGACATAAGTGCGGTTTCAGACACCTCAGGCTTGCTACTGATGGGCCTGGGCCAGGAGAGCGACAGAAAAGGCGAGGTGGAGAGCAGAGAGCTCTGTTTTCTTTTTTCCGCGGACACCGCACGTCCGTTTCGCCAAGCACCACGCCGGCGGGCGGACGGTTCGCAGGCGTACGCGCGTGTCAAAGCGATGTCGTTGGAGGAGGTGGAGGCGTCCGTCGCCTCACGCACCGCCCTTGAGGCGGAGCTCCTCGAGGCACCTGACGAACGCCGCGACAAGATCCTGTGGAGGCTCCTCCGCGACGCCGTCGCCAAGCTCCCAGCCGCACAGTGGCGCCGCGGCCGCGAGATCAAGACGCCGGGTGAGATCGCTGACGGGCTGCTCGGCCTCTCAAACGACATGCTCCTCGACGGCCTCCACTCGTCGCAGGAGCTGCTCTCCTTGATGATTGAGCATGGTGGCTTCGGAGAGCCGGCAGTGCGAGTCGAGTTCCTTTGCTGCTCGTCCGCGTCTGTCCGAGCTGCCGTTGCCAAACCGCCCAAACGCGTACGTTTCGACATGAGCGGTCCCGATCGAGCACTCGTCGAGCGAGTTTCCAACGAGATTGCTGCCGAGATGGAGGCAAGCTCGACCGCGACAGGCGGCCACTGCAGCGCTAGCTCCACAGTGACAGACGGCCACTGCGCCACTCCGCTGTTTGCCGCGTGCGTGAGCGGTCACTACGCCATTGCCCGTCTTCTCCTCCGCCTCGAGTGCGGCGCGCGCGAGGCAGAGGAGGTGGAGGCGCGCGAGGCCGCAGTCCACGAGGTGGCGTCACCTCCGCCATCACCTGCGGCTGAGAGCGACGAGGAGATGGAGAAGGAGGAGGAGGAGGAGGAGGAGCAGGAGGAGGAAGTCGATGGGCGGGGAGAGGGCTGCGGAGACGAGGCAAGCAAAACCGCCGTGCCGTCCTCATACGGCACCTGGCAGCTGGCCCAACTGCAACAGGAGCGTCGCGCCGAGCGTCGCGCCGAGCGTGCGAGCCAGCATGGAGAAGCCCCGCCTCGGGAGGGTATCACCACCGCATACCTAACGCAGCTGTTCTACTCGCCGCGCTTCTCCTCCCTATCCTCCACAGTGCGCTTCGAGCAGTTGGCTGCTGTCGCGTCGCACGCGGCAGAGACTGCTTGCTTGACGCCCGGTGGTGCTACCCGCTCTTAGCTCCCAGGCGACCGCCCCCCAGCTCTTGAGATGCCGCCCCATCCTCGCGTCAGGGAGCGGTGTCGCTGCAGCACCCACCTTCATCAAGCCGCCAGGTGGACGTGGCGGCGAAGCAGGCGCACCGCCAGGTGCGTGGGAGTTCTGCACGGATGAGGCGGGCGCAGAGCTCGAGCTGGAGGTTGAGCGGGGCGGGCCCGTGCCCTCGCGTCGCCGGCACGGCGCTACCTCGCCGTCGACGCTCATCACGCCGGGCCTCCGCCGGTCCACTGGTGCTACGTACTCCTCGATTGCGCAGCTCGAGCTGTATGATGAGGCCCGGCTGCACATGCACACAATGCTCGAGCAGCTGCCGCCGGACCAGCAGGCAGCGCGCTGCCTCGCCGAGCTGCGGTACCTGCATGGCGCTGTCGCAAAGGTGCTGCGAGATGTGGACCCCAGTGAAGGTGTTGGGGACGAGAAGCTGTGGTCCAAGCAGACTTCTCGTCTGCTGCGCTCTCCGCACCTGCAGACGCAGGTGCAACGCGTCCTCGGCAAGCTGGAAGGCGTAGTGGGCCTGATCCTGGACTCCTCTCCGGGAGACCCGCTCGGCGACGACCACGCGCTCGATGCGGTCGTGAAGGTGCTCGTTGAGGAGGCGCCAGTGGTGGCCGACTTTCTGCAGGTCACCTGGTGCTTAAAGCTGACTCCACGCAACCCGCTCGGCTACTTGCGCCGCGAGAAGGCGAAGCAAAAGGCGGCCGGCAGGCGCGGCAAGCCCGCAACAGGGTCGCGGCTCGAGGACCTCAGAGTGGCGGCGGCAGCAAAGAAGAAGGAGCGCACCAGCAGAGGAGCGGCCGGTGGGAGCGATGCTGCGAGTGATGCTGCTGCGACGCAGCTGCTCTCGACGCTGGCGCCCCTCACGGTTGTTGCAGAGGCAGTGTCACCCTGTGGCACCGGCACCGGCAGTGACGGCACCCAGCCGACTCAGCACCCAGCCGCCGCCGCTGCCCTCGGCCTCTTGCAGTTCGCTGCTGGCTTCGGGCTAGGTGCTCGTGGTGCCGCTGCTGCCAGTGGTGCCGGTCCGAGCGGCAGCGGTGGTGGTGTCGGCGCCGGTGGCACTGGCAGCCCGAGTGGCACCGCTACCCTGCCTCTCTGCCACCACTGCAGGCAGCATCGCCCAGACCTTCGCCTAGTGATGTGCCAGCAGTGCGAGAGCGTGCCCGTCCATGAGGATTGCTGTACGGCCGCGTTCGCGCCGATCCGCCCTCCTCTCCCAGTGCCGGCCGGCACTGCGCTCTGCCCTCGATGCGCCGAGGCTCTGCGCGAAGCAGTCGAGGACGGCGGCGAGGACCCACCGCACGGTGCATCCACCTCGCCAGCCCTACTACTCCCACTCTCCTCCTCCCACTCTCGCCGCTCCGTTACCTCTCTCACGCTTACTCACCCGCGCGCTCAGATGTCGAGGCCGCTTTTGGCGCCCTCTCCGCGGAGGAGCCATCTCTTCTCGTGCGTGTGCAGCGGGCCGGGCGCGGCCATGCCGCCGCTGCAGTAATCGACGACCATCGCACCAAGCTCGAGCGCGCCCACGGGGCGACAGACGAGCAGCTCGCTGCAGAAGACGAGGCCGAATTTGTGGCGCTGCGAGGCCACCTTAGTGCCCTCGCCGCAGTCGAGCACCTTCGCGGCTCCTCGCCCGACGCCGACGCGGCCGAGGCGGCCTTGCAGAGCTTGCGATCGCAGCCAGGCGTCGACGACGAGCTCGTCAGCGACGTCGCCTTAGTCGTGCGGAAGTGCCGCCAGGGCTACGTCCTCTCTGCCCCGCTCCGTGCTTTCCGTGTCCGCACGGTCGAGTGCCGCGTCCGCGCTTTTGCGCTCGGACCGTTGCGCGACGCGCTTGGCATAGAGGCTGCGCCTGCAGGCGGCACCATGGCCGACGATGGCGAGGCTGAGGAGGAAGCGGACGAGGAGGAGTGCTCCACCGACGCTGACGCTCGCAGCCGGGGCTGGCGCGACCGGTCCCGCCGGCTGGCAGAGGCTCTGTTTGTGCTTGCTTTCAACCAGATGATCGGCAACCAGGCCACGATGCCCAACCTCAAGCAGCTCTTCCGCCTGCTCTCGCGCTTCATGCACGAGCCGGACCGCCTTGCCTCATTGCGCAGCCGCATGCGTTGGTCGGCTCCGCGAGGTGCTGAGAAGCCGTGGCTGCGCTTGCGAGCCGTGCGACTAAGGTACAGCGACCGCGCGGTGGCCGCCCGTGCCGAGCTGGACGTGGTGCAGTCGTCGGACAACGCTTCCTTCTGGAACATGGTGGCGCCAGGCGTCGGCCTCACTGAGCGCATCAACTTGTGCTCCTGGACAGCGCTAGGCGAGTGGCACATGCACCCGTTCGGTGGCCGCGACGCAAGCGGCCGCGAGCTCAGCCGGAAGGTTGGCAGGTTCCTCGTCACCAACGACGGTTCCGCCGGCTCGTTTCGCCACGTCGTCGTGCCGCGGCGCGGCCGCGGCGAGCTGTCAAGCACGCATCTTCGCCTCCGCCTGCCCGACGACCGCGGCTTGTACGATTCCCTCGAACTCACACCCTATGACGGCACGGTCACCCACGCGGTCCTGCTGGCACCCACAGCAGTCAACCTGTCCGAGGCGCCAACGATGCTAACGCACCAATCCGAGGCCGAGATGCTCGAACACGCCATTCACGAGGAGTGGGCCGGGACCATGCAGCTCCTCATCTTCGACCACGGCGCGCTCGACAACGTGTCGACGCGCGTCTTGCCGTGGCGGCCGCGCAGGTTTGGGCGGCGGCCGGCCGGCGCGCCTCCAGGCACCTTTGAGGAGGGCCCGGCCGAGGGCCTCCTCTCGTACAGCAAGAGCGTGCACTGGCCGCAGTGGACCGACGACAAGTCCGAGCTTCGAGTCGACCACGTCTTCCCCACCGCGCCGGTCGCCGAGGACTCCCTCTCCTCAGAAGGGCAGGCGGCCGTCGTCATCGAGGAGGGGCTGCGGCACAACCAAACGTACCCCGGCTACTTCAACCGGCTACCAGAGGGCGACGGCCATCGAATCTTTCATCAGGGCGACGTTGGCACGGAAAAGGTCACCCTCGGCCTGTTGCGGCGCGCTCGGCAGGCCCTATACCGTGCTACCCTCGACGTGCGCGACCCTCGCTCGGCAAAGTTCGAGAGCGAGCAAGCTGCGCGCGCTGCCGTCCGCTTCTTCTCCATGCTGGCCATGCCAGACCACCTCCACGCGCCGCTGCACAACGGCATGGCGCTCGTGAAGGGCTTCTTCATACCGCACTGGAAGGTTGCGTCGCTAGATCAGATCAAGGTTCTCCTCGGTCTGTCTGGCATCCGCCCGTCCAAGGAGGGGGAGTCCTACCGGCCAAAGCGGCGGCTGCTGAGGGTGTACATGCTCGCGTACAACAAGATGCTGATCCGACGCTTCCACACCGACCCAGAGTACGTGCCGCCCTGCCACGAGCAGTAGTGACACCATGGCAATCTCCCTCGAGCACATCACAGTTAAACCTCGGCAATGTCTCGGCTACATCTCGGCGATATCTCGGCGATATCTCGGCCGCAACTCCTCGGCTATATCATGGCTATATCTCGGCTTTGCGTGTCGGCGCTGGACGAGCGCGGCGGGTGCCCTTCGTGCCTCTGGCTGAGGGGCCGGTTAGCGGGCGCCTGGTAGCGCTCCGGAGCGTGTGGTGGCACCCAGTTCGCGATGGATGGGCCGCACGAGCCGCACGGCCGTTCGTGCCGGCTTCCTCCAGTCGACGTCAGCAGCGACGCCGGCCTCGCTCATGTCCGGCACGCACGGCCCCGCAAAGGGCGGAGGGCGGCCGCGGCTATGTCTCCCTCCTCGACCCGGCGGCACGGCGCGCGGGCGTGGACCTCTCGACCCCTTAATCGACGCTCTTTGCTCATTTCTGCCCGCGTCAAGACCGCATCTCCCTCGCCGCCGCCCGCCGCACCTTGGGTGCTTCGCATGGCGATGTCACAGCGGCGCTGGACGAGCACGGCGGGTGCCCTTCGCGCCTCTGGCTGGAGTGGCGGTCGGCGGGCGTCAGCTAGCGCTCCGGAGCGTGTGGTGGCACCCAACTCACGATGGATGGGCCGCACGAGCCGCACGGCCGTTCGTGCAGGCTTGCTCCAGTCGACGTCAGCAGCGACGCCGGCCTCGCTCATGTCCGGCACGCACGGCCCCGCAAAGGGCGAAGGGCGGCCGCGGCTATGTCTCCCTCCTCGACCCGGCGGCACGGCGCGCGGGCGTGGACCTCTCGACCCTTAATCGACGCTCTTTGCTCATTTCTGCCCGCGTCAAGACCGCATCTCCCTCGCCGCCGCCCGCCGCACCTTGGGTGCTTCGCATGGCGATGTCACAGCGGCGCTGGACGAGCACGGCGGGTGCCCTTCGCGCCTCTGGCTGGAGGGCCGGTCGGCGGGCGTCAGCTAGCGCTCCGGAGCGTGTGGTGGCACCCAATTCGCGATGGATGGGCCGCACGAGCCGCACGGCCGTTCGTGCAGGCTTGCTCCAGTCGACGTCAGCAGCGACTCCGGCCTCGCTCATGTCCGGCACGCACGGCCCCGCAAAGGGCGGAGGGCGGCCGCGGCTATGTCTCCCTCCTCGACCCGGCGGCACGGCGCGCGGGCGTGGACCTCTCGACCCTTAATCGACGCTCTTTGCTCATTTCTGCCCGCGTCAAGACAGCGAAAAATTCTGCGTGCAAAAATTCTTTTATGCGCAAGCGAGCGAGCGCGTATTTGGGGCAGAAAAAAATTACAACAAGTCCCTAGTACGACACTGGGCACGGGACTGGCTCCGACCTCCGTCCTCAGCTGTAGAGCTGTCCGTCGCTCCGTCCTCCCCTGTGTTCTAATGCCTTCCCGTGCCCCGTGCGTGCGAATAGTAATCTCGTAGACCCCAGGTCTCTGCGCTCGAGGCTCGAGCTGCAAGAGTTCACTCGACTTCACACCGAGACTCTCTCGTCTTAAAACGGCGCCTCTCGCGACGCGGGCGGCATGCTGCCCCCGGCCTGCGCCAGCATTTCGGCCAGCCCAGCCGGCATGGCCGGTGGCCCCGCGTCCATCGGCTTCTGTTCGCCCGACACCCCGTTGATGGCCGCCCAAAGCGCTTCTCGAGATGCAGCCTCTTTGCTCCTGCAGTCCGAGCAGGCAAGCGAACGGGCGTGTCGGCATGGTGTGCTGGCAGGGTGTGGCAGCGGGCTGCACGCACAGGAGCGCCGCAATCTCGGCATGCTCGCTGCGAATAGCGGCGTCGAGCGCAGAGCGGCCGTTACCATCGACGAGGTTGAGGTCGGCTCCGGCGTTGCACAGTGCTCGCACGACCCTCAGGTGGCCCAACGCGGCAGCGATCATCAGGGCCGTGCGTCCGTCACTGCCGACTGCGTCTATATTGTTGGCGGTGCACTCGAGCGCCTTCTCCACGAGCTCCGGCTGGTCATTCCTTGCCGCCTTCATGAGCGAGGTGGAGTGGAAGCCGCCGGCGCAGTCTCTCTCGCCAGCCTCCATGGCACCTGTATTTCTTTTCTTTCAGAAGAAGAGGGGCCCCATTCTTCTTTCAAAAAAGAAATCGGCGCCTGTGCACGCCAGCCACCAATCGACACGAAAGGATTTCACGACCCGTGGCGGCGCGGAGTGTGTTATCTCTCTCTTCAGCGGGAGCCATGCTGGCTCTCCTCCAGGAGGTTGTCCCCATCATGGTCGCCAGCGGCCAGAACCTGCAGGCGAACGAGCTGATGCGGCTCGTGTCCTGCTGCCGGGTGCTTCGAGCCACGCTGCAAAACCTCGAGCTCGACCTGAGTGCCCGCCCCTCGCCTGCGCCACGGCTGCTGCAATTCATCGCTCTGAACGCCGCGCGCTTTCAGCTCGTCTCCGTCGATGTTGACCGGTGCACGCAGGAGGCTTTCGACGCCCTCCTCTTGGTGCCCGGCCTTCGAGCTCTCACCGTGCGCGGGCCGGCCTCGTCGATCCGCTCCCTGGCCGGCGCGGAGAGGGCGCGCTCTCTCCAGACGCTGCGGCTGCTCAAGGGCGTGTCCGTCGCCCTGGCCGACGACTTGAGCCCGCTCGCGGCGTGCCGTCCGCTGACGCACCTGTGCCTGTACGGCCCTGCGCCCCTCACCTCGCTGGGCCCTCTCGCCTGCTGCGCGCGGCTCGAGAGCCTCGACCTGCGCGGGTGCGAGGCGCTGGTCGACGTCGAGCCGCTGGTGAGCGCGGGCCGGGCGGCGTGCCATGGCCTCCGCAGCCTGTCGCTGCGGGGCTGCCGCTCGCTGCGTGTCGTCTCGCCGCTGCGCGCCCTTTTGGCACTCGAGTCGCTCGACCTGAGCTGCACGCTCGTCAGCGACGTCTCGATGCTCTGCGAGTGCCCAAAGCTCAAGACTCTCACGCTCACCGGCTGCGCCAGCCTGAGCGATGTCGCCCCGCTCGTGGGCCTAGATGGGGAATGCGAGATCTCACGTTGAATAGTGAAACTCAGACCCTGGGAATAGTGCATTCATTGCATGATTCACTGCATTTGCATTCACTGCATTCATGCCAGGGTCTGAGTTTCACTGCATCATGCACTATTCAACGCATCCGCCCCCTGCATTCCCCCATCTAGGCTCGTGGGCTGCCGCGCTCTCGACACCCTCTACCTCACGGGATGCTCAAAGCTGAGCGCCGTCGGCTGCCTCGCCGAGTGCCACGCGCTGCGGCAGCTCCACCTCAACAAGTGTCGAGCCGTGGTGGACGTGGGCGCCCTCGGCGGCTGCCCGACTCTGCGCCTACTCAACCTGCGCTGCAGCGGCGCGCTCGTGGTGCCGGCGGGACGACCTGGATTGTTGGTGTTGTTCGATGTGCATTGACCAGACTCTGTTTACACTCACAACCATCTTCGCCCACGGCCCCGGCGGACGACTCCTCGTGGCACCTCAAAACAACAAAAAACCTCCATTCTGGGAGAGCAGCGGCGGCGGCCCGCCTCCTTCCCCCCTCCTGCTCGCGCGCGCTCGTGGGGCGCCGTGCTTAGGCCTTAGCGGAGCTCTTTAGTGAAAAATAACCTGTGTGGAGCTCCCGCACCTGTCTAGACAGTCCTCTGAGCCTGTCCAGACAGCGTCCGGACAGCGTCCAGACAGCGTCCAGACAGCGGCGTCCAGACAGTGGCACATGGCTCCACTATTCACAGTAAAGTCTCGTAGTCTCGTGGCTGGACGACCCCTGACAGCACCCCTGGCGATGCCGAGGCCACTCCCCACCCACCCACCCACCCAAGATCCATCCACATGCCGCTTTCTTTACTTGCCAGTGAAGGGGGGGGGGGGTGCGTCTAGACAGCAGAACTAAGAGAACTTGAGAACTTGAAGTTTGAACTTGTAGTTTTGTCTTGACAGCTGTCTAGACAGCTGTCTAGACAGGCCCTCTTCACAGAAGGGTTCCCCCAAAAGTGCCCGCGAAGAAGTCGGGCAGAGCAGCAACGGTGGCGGCAACTGTGGGGGGCAACGCCGACGTCGCAATGACGTTGTGGAAAGGGCAGAGCAAGCGTGGGCACGCACTGGTCGGGTTCCATGCTGCAGCCGCGAGCCCCGCGCCGCCGATGAAGAAGCTGCGGGCCGGCAGTAGCCACGTCGACCCGCCGCTGCGCATCGGGCAAAGCGCGAGCCCAGCAGTTCAGTCAGGCACGCACGCTGCACCCACGACGGTGGCCTCGGGGCGCGCGCGACCGAACGCGCTTGCGGCGCCGCCACGCCGTCCTTTCCCATCGCCGCCGGACCGCCCTCCCTCCTCCGCGACAGACGCCGCAAACACGGCGCTTCTCGCCGCCCATGCAACAGCAGCAGCAGTGGCAGCGAATCTTCGCGTCGCTGGTGCACGCGGTGCGGACTCGCCGCAGTCTGGCGGGCGCTCGCCTCGCCCGGACCAGGCGGCCGAGCAGGCTGTGATCGCGGCCGAGGCGGATGGGCTCGGGCGGGTGCCGCCTGGCGGCGCGCCGGCAAAGGAGCCTGCAGAGGCGGGGGCGATCGGCGAGGCGGCGGTGCTCGTACCTGCAGCTGACGCGCCAGCCGCTATCCTCCCGGAGGCCTGTGCGCAGCGGGATGGCGCGGCGGCGAGCGGCGCGGCGGCGGCCGAGCCGGGCTCGGGTACGGCGGCACCTGAGGCAGCCGCCGAGGGGGAGGCGGCGGCGGCGGAGGCGGAGGCTCTGGGGGGTCGACCGTCGCTTCGGACACCGACTACAGCTACCTCCGACTCTCGGCGAAGGCGCGTGCTGCGGCTGCGGTGGAGGCGGAGCCGGAGGCGGCGGAGCCGGGTCCGGCGGCAATGCCGCAGGCGGCGGCGGCGGCGGCGGAGCCGGTGGCAGCGCCGGCGCCGGCGGGGGCGGAGGGGGCGCGGGCGGAGGCGCCGCCGGCGCCGGCGGGGGCGGAGGGGGCGCGGGCGGAGGCGCCGGCGGAGGCCCCGGCGGCGCCGCCCTCCCTGTGGGCAGGACTAGTTGGGAGGGTGCGCCACATGACTTCTGTGATAAACATCGTCTCTCTGATCGAAACACAAAAGCTTTTGCGCAGTGAACCACACGGCGCCGTGTCCCTGTGCTGAAGCGTTTTGCCCTGCTCTCTCCCCTCTCGCCGTTACGAGTCTCGGCTCTCGCCCACAGGAGACGCCCCGCCCAGCAGCATACACTCTAGACCATTAACCAGTGATTGCGACCAGCGCGGTGTGCACGCCGGCGAGCAATCATAGGCCTTGTGAAGCTGCAGCGCCTGCCGGTCAGAATAGAGGCATTCACATCCAACATTGCACTTCCAAACAGGTAGGATGTGGCCGCAAGATGTGCAGCGGCACGGGTCATTGGTGGGTGGCGGCGGCGGCAATGCAGCTGGCGGCGGCGGCGGCGGCGGCGGCGGCAGTGGCGGCGGCGCGATGTTTCTACCCTGTGGCCGCCAATCAGTGGGCTTGCTGCCATAGTTCGCGAGCTCGTGGGTGGCAATCAAATCGCGCGGTGGGTCGCTCAGCAGCTGCTGCAGCTCCTCGAGGTAGTCGCCAAGAGGCACGCCGCGTGCAAGCCGCTCGCGCATCACGCGCTGATCCCACGCCATCTGCGCCTCGCCCGGCCGCGCGCCCTCACACCGTCGGCCATGCGCCGCCGCAGCTCGTTGAACGGCATGCCATAGACTTGCGGCCCGTCGTCGCCGCGCGCCGCGCCGTAGCCCTCTGCGCGCAGCTCGAGCTCGAGGGCCTCGCGTGTGCCCGTGTCCTCGAGCAAAGGCGAGCCGCAACGCGCAATGAACAGCTTCTCCAGCTCCTCCTGAAGCTCACCCTCATCCACCTCGTCGCGAACTTCCGCCACCTCGGCCACGAGCTCATCGAGCAGCGATGCAATCACCTTCTCGGGGTCCTCGCTCACCTTCTCGGTGTCCTTGCTCGCCATGCTGAACTGGGCGGCGGCCCGCCGCCGCCTTTGTTTGGTCGGCGTGCGCTTCGCCTTGCGCTCCATCGGCGTCATCTTGTTCGCCTCACCCTCCTCCGCTGATGGGCTCGCTGGAGGCTGAGGCGCCTGCGGCACGGCTGTGCCAGTCTGCTCGTCCCACACATGCCCTGCAGCGAGACGACCGACCGCCGCGTCGGCGACGGAAGACGCCAGCTGCCTCTTCTGCAGCGCGCTTTACTGCGCGGCGCTCGCGCTGTTGCTCTGCTGAGAGGGGCATGTTGGTATCACTTTGGCGATGCCGGCGAAGCTTCACTCCGCTGAAACGGAAAATTAATTCTATATTTTGACCGCGCAAGATATAAAGGGTGTCCTAAGGGCTCTGCTCGCAAGGCGCCCGCGTCGCAGACGCGGTACCATTGACAAATCTGCAATATACCCCCACACGAGCAAATAGCAAAATCCGAATACCGTCCAGAAACATGTGATCTGCGCCGTGGACGGGGGCAAGCCTTCAGCTGGTGCCAAGACATCCGTAAAGTTGAAAGCAGATTACATGTTTCTGGACGGTATTCGGATTTTGCTAAAGAATTTCCTAAGCATAGAGGGGTCCCGTACCATGCGCTCAAGTGCTCAAGGATTAAAAGAATTAAACAAAAGAACTCTATGATAAAAGAAAGAAAAGAAATCCCGCCCGCCGCGCCGATGGCCTCCCACCGCATCGGCGCCCGCGTCGCGGGCCTCTCGCCAGAGCAGCTGTGCGCCATCATCGAGGCGCAGGCGGGCGCGAGCGCCGCCGCGCTGCGCGTGGCGGAGGAGCACGCCGCACGGCTCGTGGAGCAGCCCGAGTGGGTGCTCTCCGAGGTCCTCCTCTCGCCGGACCTCGCCCCGCACATCCTCGCCCAGCTGCCGACCAAGGAGCACGCCGTCAAGGGGACGTGCCGCGCGTGGCGCCGCGGCTGGAAGGAGACGCTGAAGAAGCGCGAGAGGCCGCGCCTGCTCGTGATCGGCGGCCACAACAACAATGGCGAGTTCCTCAGCTCGCTGGAGCGGTACGACCCGTCAACAAATGAGTGGGAGGGGGAGGCTGTGGCGCCGATGCGAACGGCACGAAGGTATGTCGGCATGGCGGTACTCGATGGCAAGCTCTACGCGGCGGGCGGCCTGAGTGAGGCCGAGAACTTCGCATCTTCCAACCTGGTGGAGCGGTACGACTTTGCTACGAAATCAAGTGAGGCTGTGGCGCCGATGGAAGAGGCGCGGTTTGATCTCGCTGTCGCGGTTCTCGATGGTACGCTGTATGCTGTGGGCGGAGCGAATGACGACGACGACGGCGCCCTCAGTTCAGTCGAGCGGTACGACCCAGCGTTGGATGCGTGGGAGGCGGTGGCGCCGCTGGCGACGGCGCGGCAGGCTCACGGCGTGGCGGTGCTCGATGGCAAGCTGTATGCGGTGGGCGGCTTGAACGAAGACGACGGCAGCCTCAGCTCGGTGGAGCGGTACGATCCCGTGACGAACGCGTGGGAGATGGTGGCGCCGATGGCGACGGCACGGTATAATCACGCCGTGGCGGCGCTCGACGGCAAGCTATACGCTGTTGGCGGGTCCATCAACGACGACGGCCGCCTCCACTCGGTGGAGCGGTACGACCCGACAGCGAACACGTGGGAGGCGGTGGCGCCGATGGCGGAGACACGGTACAGTCACGCCGTGGCGGCGCTCGAGGGCAAGCTGTACGCCGTTGGTGGGTTGGGTGCCGGCCACACCCGCCTCAGCTCGGTGGAGCGGTACGACCCGGCCGAGAATATGTGGGAGGCAGTGGCGCCGATGGCGACCGCACGAATCTTTTCTTGATGTAGTGGGCTTAGGCGCGGCGACGCCCCCTGAGATTTGATTGAGATGCAGATGACATGAGCTCGCGAGCTTGCACATGCACATGTGCACATGTGCATGCATGCATGGGAAGAGACAGTGGTTGACGCCTGACGCAACAGGGTCCCAGGGAAGCCTCCACAACGGGGTTGATGAATAACAGCTAATATCACCTCCTACGTCCTAGAGACCCTAGAGCCGTAGGATTTTTTGGCGGGGAGCACGGAAACATTTCCATAATCGACCTCTCGCCACTCTCGCCACTCTCGAGCTCTCATGTCCTCCAAGGAAGGCTGCCAGCGGTCTGCCTCGCCCCGCTCCACTCCCGCTGCGCCGCCCTGCCGCCGCGCACCGCTCCGGCGTCGCCCGGCTCGGCAGCGCCCGCCTCGTCGCTCAGCGGCTCGTAGCTGGGCCTGCGCGCCGCCGCCGCCCCCGCGCCCTCCCCTCGCTCGCCGAGCCCGAGGACGGCGAGGCCGAGCAGCACGACCCCCACCGAGGCGCAGTAGGCGGCGAGCGAGGCGGCCGGGCGGCCGCGCTTCTCGTCCATCACGAAGTTGCCGCTGAGGGCGCCTACGGCGGGCCGCGTCCACGACATGACTCACGACATGTCCACGGCGCGTCCGTGCCTTCCCGCGGAGGGCGCCAGAGAGGATGTAGAAGCCCGAGTAGACGGTGATCGCAAAGAGGGCGTCGTGCTCGCGCAGCACCTGCGAGGGAGACGAGGCACCCACGTCAGTGCACGCCTCCGCCTCAGGTGGCAAGCTGTGGCGACGGCGCGCTGTGCCACACCGTGTGGAAGTCTAGAGCGCGCACCAGGCCGAGCAGCAGCAGCGCGGTCGAGGCGGTCGCCGCCGTGCAGCCGGCGAGGAGGTAAAACGCGGGCGAGCGGAACGGGCAGCCGTCGCACTCCGGGTCTGCCGCGCCGCTGGCGAGGAGCTCGGAGGCGGCCTTGGTGGTGAAGGTGTTGCCGCCAAGCGAGCCGGCGGCGGCGGCGACGAGGAAGCCGCGCTCGACCTTGCCAGCCCCGACGCGGCAGAGGCGCGCGGCGCAGACGGCAATCCAGGCCGCGAAGGAGGCGTAGTAGGCGCAGGCCTCGGGCCGCGCAAAGAGCGAGAGGTACTGCGCCGGAGTCCGCTCCACCTCCGCGTGGCTGCCGCTGACGCCGACGAGCAGTGTGCCGGAAAAGATCAGGGCCGAGCCGAGCTTGCGCTCGCGCGTGAGCGCCTCGCCGAGCGTGTACGGCGCCAGCAGCACGTTCCACACCACGACGAGGCCGGCGGCGGCGGCGATGATGGACTGCGCGGCGTACGTGTACGCCGCCACGTCAAAGATTGGGTCGATGACCGCCGTGAGGATGAGGCCGAGAGCGTAGTAGCGGTGCTTGCCCGTGAGCGCTGCGTGCCGCAGCAGCTGCTTGCCACCCGTGCCGGCGAGCGTGGCGACGGCGTCGAGCAGCAGGCCGATGGGCCAGCGCTGCATGCTCAGTCGACTCGAGGCGGACGAGGCGGCGGCGCAAGCGGCACTCTCGATTCTGGGGCGAAAAGAATTCTCGGCAGCCGACACGACGAGCTCGAACGTCTGCCGTCTCGAGGCCTCAGAGTCGCCTCTCCCAGAGTCTACCTCCTGCGGCAATACACAAGATCCTCAGACACGCCTATAGGCCGGTCTGTAGGGAGCAGCGGCGCTCACTCGAGGTGCGTGGCGGTGGCGGGCCGAGTGACGTCCTGCGCGTCGCTGTCGGCCTCGACGGAAGCGGTGGAGGCGCGGCCTGGAGTGCAGCAGAGAGTCTCCACTCCGTGGCGCCACTCGAATCTCCACTCTCGTCGGTGCCACTCGCGCAAGAACCACCTTTGGGCTGCGGCGAACGAGCTGTGAGAGACCGCGCAGCACGTTCTTCGCAGCCGTCCACGCGTGAAAGAGCCCGAGCAGTCAGCTGTTGCAGTAGGAATGCGAACGATAAGACGAGGCACAGCTCGATGGCGCCCTCAAAGACGCGGCGACGGATGCACAAAGGCGATGGCCGTGACCAACCACGGCGCCGCCGCCATCAGCGCGAGGTTAGCGGCGACGAGCAGCGCGTTGAGCAGGATGCATCCGTCGCACGTGGCCTCGGTGCCATCGCGACATCAACGCGTCGTCGTCGGGCAGCTTCAGTGCGAGGCGCCGCCTCACTTGCTCCTCGGGCGACGCGGCGGGGCGGTTGCCCCAGCTCAGGTCGGCGGCGCGGGCGGCGCAGTAAGCCGAGAGGGTGCCGACAAAGCTAGGCGAGGCGATCATGAAGACGGGGAAGGCCTTGACCAGGAGGAGCGCCCCCTCCATGATGTACGAAGAGGTTAGGAGCAGCAGGGACCCGAGGGACCATGTGGAAGACGGCTAGTGCTAGTCCCCATCGTGAGGACGACGACCCCGGCTAGTCGCCGACCACACCCACAAAGAACCCTGCACAAAGATCGCACGGACGGTTTTCCTTTTTTTTAAAATGAACTCGGGGCAGCACACGGAGAAGGGGCAACTCCGTGCACACTGAGAGACGGTCGGCCGCCAGAAAACACGCCTGCGTGGATCGCGTCACACCAATCCTCGCTACCCAACGCGGCCAAAGGATATCCACCTCGAGAACCTCGAGAACACGGGACGCGGCACAAACGGTTTGCGCATTTGATGTATTTCTTGTGTCGACTTGCGTGCGCTCGTGCGTCCCACCGCGTCCTGTCGGCCACCGGCTGTGCAGGCCGCGCGTCTCGATGCCGCAAGGCCGGGGCAGGCTCCACAAGGACTACTCCAATGGCGCGTACGAAGGCGAGCTGCTGGATGGCAAACCGCACGGCCGCGGCAGGCGCCAAAGGCCGCGGGGCTGCCACCTCTGCTCTTGTCGCTGTCGCCACTGCCAGACGTCATCCATCAGTTACAGTCACCTCCCGCGATAGCCGTCCTCACCTTCAGCCAAATGCCCTCTGCCCCACTGTGACAGGGCCAAGAACGATGAGGGAGACGTTTACACTGGTGAATGGCGGGAGGTGCGGGCAAGAGCGAGAGAGAGCACGCAAGAGAGAGAGAGAGAG